TCTGAATTAATATTTGAAGAATTTGATTAAGAAGAGTAAACAATAGACAAAGCATAAAGTATAGACAGAGCTAGTAATCATAGACTAAAATAAGTAGATATGTAAAATAGAGAGAAAGCAATTAGACTAGTAGAAGTAATAACTAAAAAATATAGTAAAGAAATAATAGTAAAAGATAGCAAATTAGTAATAGGTCTAGAAGATTATATAGATAAAATGATAGCAGAGATATAAAAAGTAGATAGCAATATAGTAATAGTAGCTAGAGAAAAGAACAAAAATTCTAATTTTAAGTAATGTCCTCTTTGTTGCAATTTCGAATTTACTCAGCTGCCCAAACAGTGCCCAAGTACGATCTGCTGCAGCAGCAATTTTTCTCCTAAAACTAGGTGTATATAAGCACATACCTGCCTAATCTCTATCTACAGAAGGCTACTCCCAGCCAATATCAAGATCGCCATAGCAGGATCACCCTATCCTTAATTCAAGATAAATCTAAGAAGAAAGATAGAATGTAATCTAGCTATCGCGGAAAAAATAAAAATTGTATAAATCTAAATGGCTATGATCTATAACATATTTCAAATTAGAAAAACCTGCTACAGGTGTAAAAAAAACTAATTTGAAAGAAAAAATATACAAAGAAAAAAGAAAAATGGTGAGGAAAAAAAATCTAATCTAAGAAAAGAAATCTCTCCTCATTTGATAAAAATATTACACGTGCATAACGTGAAAATGTGTATCTCATTGTTTATACTAATTCCGTGATTAGATCCAAACAGGTTGTCTCACGTGTTTAGCATCTTTACGTGTTATTGTTTTTTTGTGCAATGTTGTGCATCAACAGACTATCCCAATTTGGAAATAGTAAACAGTGTCGATCTTTGTATAGGAGTATGCCAAATCCCCACAATTCTTCGAAAAAAAGACTAAAAATCGAGAGGGAGAATAGGAGTTACGAGAACCATGGTGGTAAAAGACAGTAAAATACTTGACCCAGCTCAAGTACTATAGTAGGTATTTCTTCTTTCTTTTCTTCAACTTTTTCTTTTATTACTTTAGAACACATAACATATTTCTCCAAAAACTTCGATAGCTACTTCTCGCTAAAGCCAAGTCTTATACTATGCTGCTTGTATCTATTCAAAAACTAGTGCCAAACTAGTCCGGGCTTGTCTCGCGCTGTTTCTTCTATTAAGGTTGCTGTGTATTCTTTAAAATATTGACTCTGTTATAGTTTTTCAATAATAAAAGTTTGCTCCACATATGGTTCAAGTGATCATCGGAAAGAGTTTGAATAGATAATTATTATCAATTTCCTTAAATTCAATAAATAATATATAAAATAATTAAAGCAACTAAGTAAAAAAAAATCCTACTTAGTGCTAGTCTGCTACTATAACTCATCAGTAGATTAACTGTTAACTAGTAGGTATTGAACTTACGACTACTAGTCTCATAGTCACAAATCTAAACTACTTTACTAAAGCAAGTAGATAATAAAAGTTTATATGCACTTCTTAAGAATATCTAAATTTGTTAACAAGTAGCTAATAAAAATAAAGAATTGTATATATTTGAAATTAAGGTTTGATTAATTTAAGAAGAAAATTTAAAGCATGTTAAATTTAAATTATTTCAAAAATTAAAGTTTTTACTAATAACAAATATAACAAAAAAATATAGAGACTAACACAAAAGGGAGAAGTCATTATACAAGAATATAAAAAAGTATAATAATAATATTACAAGAGTATAAAAATAAAAAAAATATTAAAAATAAAAATTTAAATATATAGAGTCAAGAAAGAAAGAAAGCAGAAAGAAGAAAAAGAAGAACTTATAAAAAAGGATAGAAAAATTTAGTTTTTAAAACAAGAAGTAGAAGAGTTAAAAGAAAGGGAAAAGTAGAGGTATAACAAAAAAAGGTTCAAAAAAAGAAAAGAAAAGAAAAGAAGAAAAGAAATGAAAAAGAAGTAGAGTTTGTTTTAGCAGAAAGATATAAAGAAGCAGTAGGGTTTAGAATAAAAAATAATAAAAAAAAATATGATGAAGTTAAAAGAGAAAATAAGAAGTTAAAGAATGAGTTGAGGAAGAAAGAAATTATAAATCATTCTTGAGAAAGGTTCTTTTTAGTTTTTTTTTAGGGCTTGAGATGTACTACAATTCTAATGGTTCATCTGTATAATTTTAATCTGTTTCTACTCATATAAATAGTAAAGTTCTTGGAGGCTTCAATTTTTCCAAATAGTTATAAGTATAATCTTCTTCTAGGTCTCAATATATTTTTGTAAAAGTTATATTATATCAACTTGGTATTCTTGAGTTTAGAAGATTGTATTTCATTTTTTGTGTAATATAGATCATTGCTGGAACACCATGGGTCTTCCTCAGAATTTGTGTAATATAAAGTTGGATCATCAAAGAAATTGAGAGAAGCTTCTTTAGTTTTAGAGATCAGCAAAAGAGAAGAAGAAAGACTTCTTTAGATAAAAAAAAATCCTATAAATGTCATTTTTAATATTTCTACTAGAAGACACCAAAATGTTACAAGTATTGTAGTCTTCTTAATATATCTCAAGTAACATAAAACATGGAAGAGTGACTTCTAACTATATCAAAGTAAAATATTATTTCATTGTAGCAGTTTGTTAGAGAAGTTTATTTTTAAAACTAAAAAATTATATTTATTAAAGAACTAATAAAGAATTTAAAACTTTATTAGAGAACTGCAAAAGATTACAAAACTATTTTACTATTATTTAATAGAAGATTATAGAGAACAAATCTCATTTGAGACAAAAGGAAAAGGGAAAGTTTATATAGCTTTTTACAACTAGTAACAAGAATAGTAAGAATAGTAAGAACAGTAAAAACAGTAAGAATAATAAAAACAGTAAGTACAGTAAAAATAATAAGAACAGTAAGAATGGTAAGAACAGTAAGAACAATAAATTAATTATAGTTATTCCTAAGATAACTCTAAAACTAAGAGTTCTACAGTTATGAATTATAGCTCGTTTAAAAGGTCTCTTCGAACTGAATCTAATAGTCAAATCTAAATCTAACTTTAGCTAATAAGTTATTAAGAAAAATAATGATAAATAAATCTAAATATATATAATAATATAAAAGTATAATAATTAAGAAATAAGCTAAAACCTATTTTATAACAGTAATATTGTTATTTTTGTAAAATCTTGAAATATCACAATCTATTTAGATATATCTTCTTTTATATTAATATCTACAAACATATCCAACTCAAAATTCAGAATTTCAAAATTTTCTGGTGTCTGGTATAATAGCATTTCGTTGAAACTTTGAATGAAATAAGAATAATTTGGTAAAAATACTGGTTTCAGAGCCTCTGACAACGTATTCCAAGAAAATATCTAAGAATTAATAAGATAATACAGTAGTCTTTTAATAAATATAATTTGTATGTAAACATTGCAGTAACGATAATTAAATTATATATCGCTAAAAAAAAAAATTCAAGTTGTTTTAACCTGCGGATTATTTACGGTATCGCTTTCCATATTAAGTAAATTTTAATTAATTGATTTTTTGTGTACCGGTATTTATTATGGAAATTACTGGCTTTTTTTTTAATATAAAAAAACTGCTTAGGCGAAAGAGCGAAAGAAGCAAAAAGAAGTATATACAGATCGTATATTATATACTCTCTTTATTGAATATGTCGTAATAATTACACAATCGAAGCTTATTACAAAGTTTAATTAATTAAGTAAATCGATCAATCAATCGGGATATAGTTTTAAGACCGACGCTAGGGTAAGGGTCAGACAGTGAATTGACATTATTGGCGTAACCTGTTACAGATTTGGGACGTGCAGCCCTTGAAACGATGATGACATGCGATTAGGCCATACACCTTGGTTTTCATAACCCGGCCGGGTCAGTTTTTAAAGATCTTTGAAAAAAAAATTTCGTAATTTATTGTCGCGGCTGATGCTGAATTTTGGGGGTCGTAATTTGGATCTATTAAACCTGCTAAATCCACATATACTCTTTTATTAATAACTCTAACCCTAAACCCTAGCCTAACCCTAAAAAAAAATCCTACACAAAAGGCCCTAAAAATTTTTAAAATTTCATAATAAAATAGGTCCAAAATTCAGCATCAGCCGTGACATTTATTATAAAAATCTCCGGGTCAGTTTTTTAATGAAATTTTTTATAATTTAAAATAAAAAGCCGGGTTGCCGGGTCACTTTTAAAATTTTATCTTATGAAATTAACTTTGTATGGCCTTATATCAGATATTAGTTAAGTGATAATTTATAGATTTATGCAAGTTTTATCCCTCGAGAGAAGACTATACTTTGTGTCCCAAAACTTTTTTTTTTTCTAAAGGTAGGTTTTACAAAATTTACAGCTGTTCTCATAAATTCTGGGACAAACTAAAAATTTTGCTCGTTTACCGAAATCTCTCGGTTTTGTCTCAAGAATCATCAATTCTTTGGAAACTACATCGCTACTTTCGGAACTTCGGTTCGGAGGCAGCGATAAAGTTCCGAAGAAATTTCGGGTAACAATGAATTTTTAGTTTGTCCCGATATAGTAAAGATTGATTTAATAAAGAATTTAAATTACAGTATTATTAAACTTTAGTTCGATATAATAAAGCGTATATAGTAATCTCTCGTTATAAGCTATAGTAAAGAATTTTTTTCCTATAACGAGAGTCATTTGTACGTATAATTTCGGTTTTCCGAAACCGAAACGGAAATTATATTTTGGGTCGTTTCGGGTCACATGTATAGAGAATAATGTTCATTACACAAAACTAAAATAGATTATGATTATGCAGCCTGACATAATCAACCACCATTTCTCCATAAGTAGTTATTGTTTGCATTCATACAATAAAGGTTAAAAGTTTTTTTTTCTTGCATTGCTCCGTATTTTATACTTGCAACAAATCCTTATGATTGCAGGTCAATTATAGAAAATTTCCATAATTTGCTTTAAAAATGACATCGGTTCGATCGAACGGCAATTCTTCCAACTTGGACGTTGCTACACTTACAAGTTTTGGTTATAGACCTTTCGAAGAAGATAATGAAAATGTAATATCGAAATTATTTCAACGCGTAAAGAGTTCTTTCGTTGTATCCCCTGGTACCTCGAACGTAAATACCTCTACCGAGCCTCTCGAAATTTCTTCAGCAAAACCTTCTCAAGACCCTGATTTTGAACCATCGAGAAGTACTTCTTCGCTATTGTTACCGGATAAAGAAAATAAAGGGTTTAAACACAGTGTTACGCCTGCTCCTCCCGTTGTTTCAATAGAACCTTTACTTGGAAATGTTTCTCCAAACATTTTGGTAGAGTCTGCTGAAGGTATTCAAGAATATGTTAACGGTACTGTAAATGGGTCCAATACTAGTTTAAGTTTAGTTAATGGTGTTAGTAATCCACAAAACAGTCAGGAGGGGTTCGAGCCGGGCAATCAAAACTCCTATCCTATTTATAAAGATATTTCGGATACTCGATCTATTCGATCCGTTCAAACAATTGCTTCTACTGGGAATAATTCCGGCTATTCTTTTAGTAAAGTTATTAGAAGATTACGTGGCGAAGGCGTAAATAAAGGTTATTGGATGGCTGATGATTCCTGTAAAGAATGTTATGAATGTAAAGTTACTTTTACCATAGTCCGAAGAAAGCACCATTGTCGAATATGTGGTAAATAAAAATTTTTTTTCCTTAAATATATATAGGTACATTTTTTTTATATAATCGGGTTTATGGTTAATTTTACTAACCTTTCTTTAATAAAAGGTCAGATTTTCTGTTCTAAATGTGCTTCAAATATAATACCTGGTGAAAAATTCAATTATGATGGTGCAATGCGTGTTTGTAATTTTTGTCGACAACTTATGAAAGAGTACGGCGAGGATTCTGATCCCGAAGCAGATTATTGGACCGAAAAAAATGATTCTTCAAACAATGCTCTTCCAAGAATACATTATACTCCACCTATGTTAACCGATAGTCCTAACATTTCATCAAATACGACGTCTGAGCTATCACCTTCAACCATCAACTCCCACCTTTCTCCACGACCCCCTTCTCCTGATACTCTCTCGTTGAATGATGGTTTAAGAAGAATTATTTCTGCTGGTTCATCTTTATTTATGTCAAGGTCAAGGTCTAATACCATAACAGAGGATCTTCACATTGTCGGTTTACCTTCTTCTCCCGCTCCTTTTCGACGTAGTCTTACTGAAGATGATAAAAATACTCCTGCTGCAAATCCTGAAGCTGTCCTTGACCCCGAAATCGCTCCCTTCATGAGCGATGACGAAGGAGATGATGATGTCCATTATGATTCTTTGACGAATCCTTCAAATGTGTTTAGTTTCGTTACTAGCATATTACACGTGGGTGGAAATACCGATTCCGCTACTCCGACTCCTGCCGTTTCAGAATATGCCGATAGCGATGATGAATCTAGTGAATTCGGTTCAAGGTCTTCTCTTAAGGCTATGCAGAAAGGTCAACGTGCTGATGACATAAGAAGTCATTTCGCTAGAGATAAAGGTTCTCCTTCACGGAGACGGAGTATTAATAATAATAATCGTCCTTCCAGAATGAGTAGAAGGAGTGGTTTGCTCAGACAAATTAATCCCAATAATATACCTATGGAAATGTCTTGTTCATTAGAGTCTAGACCTTCGTCTCCATTTAGTATGAGGCATTCTCGGACTATCTCTACCCAAACAAAGACTGAAATAAGCCCAATTTCCCTTCAACACATGAGAAAATTGCTACGTCAATTTCTACGGGAATCCGAAATAGATTTATCTGAAGGTTGGGAAAATGTGATAATGGGATTGATGACAAAAGTTTCTGACAATCTAAATCCAAACGTTCGTGGTGGTGACGAGATTGATATTCGACATTATGTAAAAATTAAAAGAATTCCGGGTGGTACCCCTCAAGATTCCGAATATGTTCATGGCGTTGTGTGTGCAAAAAATCTTGCTCATAAACAAATGCCAAGGACTCTTCATAACCCTAGAGTTCTTATTTTAACTTTCGCTTTGGAATATCATCGTGTAGAGAATCAATTAATGTCATTGGATCCGGTCATTGCTCAAGAAGAAGAGCATTTACGTCTCTTAGTCAATAGAATTGCAGCATTGCGCCCTCACTTAGTTCTTGTCGAAAAAACTGTTGCTCGCAAAGCTCTTCAAATGTTATTAGAGAAACATATTGCTGTTGCATTAAATGTCAAATCATCAGTCATCGAAGCCGTTGCACGTTGCGCACGAGCTGATATTATTCAGTCTATTGATAAGCTTGTCTCTGAACCGAAATTAGGCAATTGTGGAACATTTATGGTTAAAACCTTCGACCATAAACTCATTCCAGGGCGACGAAAGACCTATTTATTCTTTGAAAGTTGTCCTAAAGATTTAGGTTGCACTATCGTTTTACGAGGTGGAAATATTGAAACTCTTGAAAAAATAAAACGTATTACTGATCTCATGGTATTCGTGGTCTATAATTTAAAATTAGAGACTGCTTTGATAATAGATCAATTCGCAAAAATTCCTGCTACTATTGATGAAAAAATTGACAGTAATGAACACATTTCTAATTCTATCTCTCGACCTGATGATGTGCCGGACCCTTTAGCGCCATATGAATCAACTATACTTTCTGTATCCCCATTCATTAAATTTCCACCACCTTATCTGTTGACAAAAACTAAACAAGCTGAAAAAAGGCTTACAGATTTAATCAATAAACGTAATGCAACTACTAATAAAGATAATGATAAACAACATTCAACATCTACTTCTGTCGGACTTTCAGGCATTTTACGTACTCCAGAACAAGTTATAGCCGAAGCTGAATTAGCTGATGCCATCCATGATCATATCTTTCAGATGCGTGCTTGGGAAAGCTTTATTTATAATAATATTGTTAGCCCCTATGCTCATCAAAATATAACCGTATTATCTTTTAAAGTTTGCACTGTAAATGGAACTTCATGTAGTGAACCCGAGATTTTGGTTATGGAATATTATCGTGACTCGGATCGTACACTTGGTCAATATTTAGAAGAAATGTGTTCTAGATCCGCTTATTTATGCAGCACGTGCGACCGTCCGCTACTCATGCATTATCACAGTTTTTGTCATGGAAATTCTCGAATAACTGTGTATATAGAAGAACAAGATATTCCTCAATTAAATGTGGACAAAATATTTATGTCCACTCATTGTAAAATATGTAATGCTGAAACTGCACCTACATTAATGACCGAAGACACATGGAAATATTCATTTGGAAAATATTTAGAGTTATCTTTTTATCAAACTGAACTTTGGAGCCGAATGGAAAAATGTTCACATAATGTTTTTCGTGATCATGATTTATATTTCCATCTTAATAAGCTTACGGTTAGATTTAGATATGAATCAATTGAACTTTTAGAGGTATATGCACCACCTATGCATCTTTATACAAAGCCTGAAGTTCAAATTCGTCTTAAAAATCAGGATTTAGATACGATTCGACATAAAATAACGGATTATTGGGATTCAGTAACCGATAGAATAAAAAATTTCAATTATGATATCGTTCAACCAGATAAGGTTGAAATGTGCAAACAAGAACTGTTAGAAATGTCTCGGAGAGTTGTAACTGAGAAGAAATTTATGCTTCAAAAGCTTCAACAAACGTATGTTAATAGCCCACCCGAGGACACTTTAGCATTAAATAATGTATTGTATGTTCTCCAAGATAAGGTCGTGGCATGGGAAAAAGACTTTAATGATATTGCTCGACAGTATTTCCCTCGACTAACTGCGAAACAAATACGGAGACTTTTTGTTGACAATCACGAAGCGATTACTTTAGGACGTGGTTATTCTGGCACATTTTTAAATGACTTACCGTTGATAAATATGGATCTCGACGCTACAATAGATCCTTCTAGACATGAAGATTATATTGGTCCTACTATTGTTCCTAAATTAGGAAGTTCGCCTACAGCAGACCTTATCTTGAATGGACTTAAAGAATTAGATTTCTTTCATGAAGGGGAAATTGAAAGTCTTGAAAATGACATCGAAAAGGTCGCCTCACAATTGACTTTGTTTCCGTTCATGGATCCAAAGGTTTCCAGGCGTTTATCAATGAAATGGATGCAAGAATCTAAGTTAGGTCAAAGACAATTAATAAGTCGCACAGCTTCAGATTCAATATTTCCAATGATTCTTGACAAACAAGAAGAATCTGAATCACTTACAGAAAGCGATTTTTCACAACCAACTGAAATACCTCGTATAATACCATCCACTATTAAACAGAAACATACTGCTTCATCACCTTTATTGTTTACATCTTTAGATTCTCATGAGAATAGACGTAATCGTAACCCAATGTCTCCTAAACAAAATCGATCGTTATCATTACAAACTTCATCTACATCATCGACATTAACATCATCATCATCATCACCATCATCACATAGAATTAGTCGATTACCACTAGTATTGGAAAGAGATAAGGAAATTAATGTACAGGAACATCCATCACTTAAAAGGGTGCAGGCACATCTTAAGAAAAGTCAAAGTACAGCTTCTGAAAAATCCGGAATTCCTCGTCAAAATTCAAAATCTAGTCGATCGACGTCATTTAAGCACACGCCATCTGATGGTTTTGGACTCTCTCCAATAAGAACTCATGAACATAAGAAAAGTAAATTAGCTGGATATTATAAACCAAAACGTATTAGACCAACTATTCTACCCTCGAAACCAACTATTGAGGTTTTTAATAATGTGAAGGCTGCGACTGCAGAAGAATCAGAAGAAGAGGATTTTGATGAAGGCGTAGATGATGATAACGACCAATTTTGTGATGATGAAACACGAGTTTTCTCTTTGAATCGTACAGATGCATTTGACGAATCATTGGGAATCGAAGAATTTATTCCACTACCAGCTCGTGAATCATCATCTGACGAGTCATATATCTATAATCCAACATTAACTTTTCTAGGGAAAGATTTCAACGAACCAACTACTCCAGTATCTGAATCATTTTCAGGACCTGACATTAATTCTCAGACACCTTTCACTGGTAGATTTTTACTTCCAAATGATACAAATGATTCTCAAAATGGAACCAGAAAAGTAATGCCACCATTGATGAGATCTCTCGCAAGCTTTTGGACTGATAAAAAAAATTTAGATCCGTTGATTTATCCTTTGTAAGGGCTATATAAACCTAGTTTTTTGTTGCATAAATTTTTAGTATTAACAATTCATTTGCTTTAAACTTAGAAATCCAACGGAACATGTTTTTCCTGACTCTCCAATTATTGTGAGAGAAGATGAACCAGGGTCAATAATAGCTTTTGCTTTGAGGTAAATTCACATTAGTACAATTCCTGATAATTTAATTTGTAAGATTTATAAATTAATCTTTTTAATTATAAAGCTCAAAAGAATACTTGGAAAAATTGAAGAGTGTACAACAAACCAATCTTAATAATGATATATTCATGTCAGGAGATGATCGATTTAGTTCTAAATCTTCTAACTTGATTCTTGATGGAGATGAAGGCATGGATGTAGAAGATAATTTATTATCGCATATGAAATATCGTAAGACATAATAATAATTAATTTATTGTTTTCATGATTACTGTTATTTATTATTTAATTATATTATTTGTAGAATTTTCGGGTGATTCTACACAATTCTTTTGTAAAATTTTTTGTGCAGATCAGTTTGATGCACTTAGGCGTAAATGCAATTGTGACAGTACTTACATACAATCACTTGCACGATGTGTGAAATGGGATTCTTCCGGAGGCAAGTCCGGCTCCGCTTTTCTCAAAACTCGAGGTATGTTTATAACAAATAATTAAATTAAAACTATGTGCAACTAGTACTTATAATTCATTTATTTAGATGATCGTTTGGTCATGAAACAAATTTCTCGCAATGAAGTGGATGCGTTTTTAAAATTTGCACCGAAATATTTTGAATATATTGCTAATGCTTTGGTTCATGTAAGTTGTACACAATTTTAATGCATATATATATATATTAAGTTTTTAAATTGTAACATATAAACATCATTTTAGCTTCCCACTGTATTGACCAAAATTTTTGGGTTTTACCGCATTGGATACAAAAATGATCAAACAGGAAAGCAAATGAAGATAGATCTAATTGTTATGGAAAACCTTTTCTATGAGCGTAAAGTATCTAAAGTAAGTAAAAACACTTTAATTTGTCAGATATTTCAATTATTAATATTTTGTTTTATGTAATATTAATTTTGGATTCAATTATTTTTGAAATTTATAGATTTTTGACTTAAAAGGGTCCATGCGTAATCGCCATGTTCAGAGTACCGGGAAAGAAAATGAAGTTTTATTAGACGAAAACTTGTTAGAATGTGAGAAATTTTTTTGTCATTTTTATATTCAATCAAACTTAATATTAAAGTTTTTTTTTATACTCTTTATAGTAATTATGAATGATAATCCGTTATATCTTCGAGAGCATTCAAAGAAACTTTTGTATGAATCCTTGCACAATGATACAATATTCTTGTCAAGGCATAATGTAATGGATTATTCTCTCTTAGTTGGATTCGATGAAGAAAAACATGAATTAGTCGTCGGAATACTTGGTGCGTATGATTCAAATTTATTTAATCTAATCAATTATCGTATTTATTTTAATTAATTATTGTTTTAAAAAAGATTTCATACGGACGTTTACATGGGACAAGAAACTTGAGAGTTGGGTTAAAGAATCTGGATTTTTAGGAGGTGGTGGGAAAGAGCCGACCATTGTTACTCCTAAGCAGTATAAAAATAGGTTTAGAGAAGCTATGGATAGGTAAATTGCTATTACAGAAAATATTAAAAACAATTTAAATGGTTTGTACTAATATTATTGAGGTTTTTTTTTTTTTTTTTTAGATATTTCCTTATGGTTCCTGATCGATGGATTGCCTATAAATCATATCGCAAGGCTGGCCCTATTCTTTAATTCATAACATTATAAACATTTATTATTTGGACTTTTTGCATTTAAATTAATTTACAATGAATTGTATATATATTATTGGTTCAGGGTTCTAATATAGAGTTATGCCAAGAACCCAGTAAATTATAAATAGTCAGAGTATTATGTATATAGGAAATTGTATTATTTATTCAATTTTATGTATAATAAAATTTTGGTTAAAGATAAATAAACCAAATTATTTAATAAATTTAATAAATTTTAATTAAAATATTATTGAACAAAAAGTTATTTCAAGATATTATTTTCGGATTTAATTACTAGATTTGGTTTTAATAATTAAATCTAAATATCTATTCGAATTTAATATTTAATAAGAACACTAACTCAAAAATTATAGTTAGTATTCTCTAAATACAACAACTCGAGACTTATAGGAAAAAATCAAAAAAATTTGTATTTAAAGAGATTTTGTATTTAGGAAAAGCAAAATCCTTTATGTTTTTATATAATTAGAACTATAAATTAATCTGTATATATTAAGAGCTTTATTAAAAATTATACTTAAAAGGTATATATTATAGTTTAAATAGAAAAAAAAGATATATATGAGATGTTTTTAACTAAAACTGCTTATATTTACATATATCTCATTTTGAGATAATCGAGTTTAAAATAGTAGTTAACAAAATTTGAAAAGATTTGATTATCTAAAGAGTATAAAATACTAATAAAAATATAAAAAATTGTAGCTAAGATTATAAAAATATTATAAAGATTTAATCTAAATAAATCTGTAAAATAGATATAGACTATGCTAGTAAGTTTGCTTATAAGATTAATTAACTATACAGATATTTATAATATATTATATAATAGATAAGATTATAAGTTGAAACTTGTTATTTTAGAAAAGCAAAAAATAACTCTTTATATATCTTTTCATAACACTATTTTTAGAGATATGATATATATTAAAGAAGATTCTAAGAGACGCCATGTAGTAGAAAATATATTAGAACTATATAGTTTGACTATATGGTATAGTTTGCATTGGATTTCTTAGTCATATATATTGCATAAATTACAAAGTAATATGATATACTTCTTGGTATTATAAAACTAAAAATAGTAATTACTCAATAATTTATATAATGATTTATAATGAAATATATATCATCATGAAGCCAATAATCTTCTCTAAAATTCTTATTAGAGGTCTAAAAAAAACTAAACACTTCTTGATTTACTATTATTGTTCTGAACTAAAAATATATAGTAACTATTATAAAACTATATAATTTTTTTTAATTCAGCAATCATGCCAAAACTTTATTTAGAATTTGTTTTATTTTTTTTTTTCTACTTGAGCGATCTTGTCCTTTCCTTTATTATAGATAGTTTATAAAAAGATAACATATAGTACACTATTATATTTCAACATAACTATATACTGCTCTAAGATTCAGTCTGAACTAACTCAGCTGCATTAAATATGCTCAAGTTCGATCTGCTGCAAAAACCATTCATCTCCCAAAAGTAGTTCACTGTATGAACAGTACATCCTAGTTTTTGATTAACAATCGGTGACTTCTAGTCACTATCAAGATCTTAGGTCCTTTTTAATCTAATCTAAGACTAAACTAAAAGTTGTTAATACCTAGTCTCAAAATAGAAAAAAATAAAAAATTGTTACAAATAACGAAAAGCATAAAGCCACATACTATAAGAACATGAGTGTAGTATAGAAAAACTTGCTAACAAGTAAAAAACTATACTAGCATTAAGTAGATAGAAAACAAAACAAAACAAAAAGAACAAAAAAGAAAAGAAACGAAATTTTCTTTTTAACATAAAAATAAAAAAATAAAAAAAAAACCAAAGTAATTCTATCTAAAGACAAGCCTAAAAGCAAGCATTACCTTTAAAAATTATATATACTAGTTGCTATCTATGTATATATCTCTTTGATTAACAATTTCCAATATGTCTACTTAGTACTAATCTAACAAAACAAGGCCTTCACAAATTTCACTTAGTATTCAGTCAACAGAAGTTGACCTCAAAATACATGCTACACATGTTTACAAGTTGTTGTTGTTTGGTAGCATCCAATGTGACTTTCCTAAAATAGACGTAATATGAATGTTAATCTTTTGGCAGGAGTAAGCCAAATCTCTACTTTTTGTTCTCGAGGAACAAAGGGAAACAATTCCAAGTCCAAAAGTCTAGTTGTCAGGAGTATAGAGAATGGTTCTTCCAAAAAACAGAACTAAGAGAGTGGTAGTATGCTTGATCTAGTACAAGCATAGTTGAAATCCTTCTTTACTTCTTCTTTTCACCTTCTGCACCTTTTTACTAAGCAAACTTAAAGTCATCCTGCCAAAGTTAGACAGCAAAAAGTCTAGTACAATCTTGAAACTGACTTGTTGCAGTTTTTGCTTCTGACTTATCGCAGTTTCGTAGTTTATTCCTCACATAGTCAGACACTTTAAGTTGCTTTATCAAGTAGTAGTGTAAGAAAAATAACTTTTTTGTTATTCCATTATTTTGGTTTTGATAATCATCAGAAAGAGTCCTTTTTAGAATTTGTTTTATACAAGAAAACATTATTGAATGACTATATATCTTTTCAATATTGAATTTTTTAAGTTTTAACTCATCCAGTTATCCTATAGATACCTATATGCAATAATCTGTCATAGTGATCTTTATACTAGATTATTGTTGCTACTATTTCATAATTACAACTTTCTAAGTATAGATACTACAGCCTATCATAACTACTTTTATATCCTTCTAACTACTTTACTCTTCTTTATCTATAAATTTTTAACTTTTCTAAATATCTCTTCTAAACTACTATTCTTTATTCTACTTTCCATTTATCTTTTCGTATATATCTTATAAGATTTTTCTTTTTTTCTTCTTTTCTTCCAAACTTTTCTATTAGATTTATCTACTGATCTTCTGATTAAACAAAATATCTTTTCTTCTTTTAGTTTTGCTCTATGTTTTCATATTTCTTTTTCTGTAATACTATAAGCTTCTTTTTAGTCACTCTTCTGTATTACTAATTAAACTTCTTCTCTAAAATTATATCTTTTAGATTGTCTCTTCTTTTTCTTTTTCTAATTCTTTTAGAAGTTACGAGCTTCTGTTCTTCTTTTATTTTGTTTAAACTTTATCTTTTTTTCTTTTCTTCTCTTTTGAATTAAATTTATTCTTTGTATCTTTGTATTTTCTTCTTAGTTATTTTTGAAACTATCTTGATCTTTTTCTGTACTATTAGTCTTATCTCTTCTTTAAGCTTTTCTAGAACTTTTTCTATTTTCTATTTTTCTATATTTCTTTCTTTGCTATTTCTAGAGTTTTAGTTCTTCTTTTTTCTTTTTTTCTCTTCTCTTGAAAGCTTCTTTTTTCTTCTCTGTTGCTTTAATAAAGCTCTTCTAGTTGCTTTTTTTATCTGTAAACTGATCTTCATTATAGTTTCTTTGTTTTATTATTTTTGCTTTTTAATTGTCTTAGTTTTGAGTATTTCTACTCATCTTGTATCTATTCTTTATTGTATTTTTTGCAAGAGCTCTTCTTTTTCAATAAGTTCAGTACAGAGTTTTGCTTCTTCTATACTAAGTTTTTCAAGCAAATATTATATTTTTTCTATAATTAAAAACTCATAAATATCTCTTTTTGTTAGTTTAGCTAGTTTTGTTATTACTTTAAAAAATGTCTTATTAATTTCTATAAAACTTTCTAATTCTTTTTTTTTTTTTTTTTTTTTTTTTTTTCAACAAGCTATCCGCAGATTTTTATTAAGTGTTAATTTCAAATTATATTTGTTAGTGAGGATATAATTGGCTACACGTACAACTTTAGTCATTGTCTATTTACAGGTTCCACTATATAGGTTATCTACCAATTCTATATCTAGTATCTGCCTGTAGATACTCTATTTAAACCCTCTGGTATTACGGTGAAACTCTATTTTTAACCTAATATTTGTATATCTACATTAATCTTATGCTGCCTCATTTGAGGACCACTCAGACTAACTTGCGTCTCAAATTGTCTTCATAGAACTGAGCTCTATCACAAGGTACCCTCCTGCGTCCTATTCTGGTAGGAGCTTGCGGATGACCTCAACTATGCTGTGCTATATTCCAATTAAACTAGCATATACCCTTATTGGTGTTCGTACAAACCTAGTTCCTTCCATAGCTCTTCACCAAATTGGTCTAGTTCTTCCGAATGTTTTATGAGATAGATCTTCCCAAATCCAGTTAGCTGCCAAGCCAAGTTGGTATTGCCTTTCATATAACATTATATCATACTTAACTTTTCTGTTACACTAAGGACTTACTCGCACTCACTCAGTCTGCATTCTTCGTACCTAGACTTCCTCTAGATCGAGCGTCAAACTGGTATGACTGTCAAAATCTGTACTACATCACCTAATTCAAGATTTCTACTATGCAGATCTCCTGCCTGTAGATCCTATCAAGATTTATTCGTATAATGTTACATTACACTTGACTTTTCTGTTACACTTCCAATACCTGATTGATATTGGTGCAATACAATTTACAGGGTTACAACTCCAGAAACGAACAGGGTTTACCGTAAATTGGATACAAAGATCTGAATAATTATTCAAATTCGTCGATAGTGGAATTTGAACCCCAAACCTCTTACATGGTGGTCTGGCAACCTAACCACTACACTAAGATCATCAGACCTTTTAAAACTTTCTAATTCTAATTTAGTTATTTTCCTTTTTGATATTGTTTTAATTTTCTTCTTAGTTTGTATATCTGCTTTGCTATATCTTTTGTTTTTGTAAATCTTCTTTTAGAGTTTTCTTCTATTTTAAGCTTCACATATCTATTTTTTTGTTTTGTTGTATCTATATATCTACTTATCATATAGCTTTTTCTACTATTACATATTTGTTTTTATATAATCAAATAAATCTATACAATAGAGTTAAGTATAATCTCTCAAAAAATATTCGCAAAGGTCTAGTG